TAAAATAAGTATTTAAAAACCTAACAAGTGAACTCTAGAAATAAAAATATCTTGTGGTATAATATCTTGTGGTACGTTACTATGATGCATACTCTATTCCTATAAAGGATTTATAGCAGCTTAAAATGTGAAACCATTCTATTACGGTTCTATAATGTGAACAGTTCTTAAAATGTGAAACCATTCTATAACAGGCTACTTATGTTTTTTAAAATATTAAAAACATAAGTACTAGGCAACTGGAATGAGCTATTTATTGAAGCTAAGCTGAAAATGTGGCTCTGAGTTTCCTGTGAGAAGGCAAATGGGGCAAACGTTATAATATATGGCTTTCATGTAAAGTAAAAGGAAAAAATGTTTCATCTAGGGAGAGATCCCTTTTCTGGCATTGAATTCTCTAAATATTTTATAATGTGCATCCCTATATTCAAACGACATTGAGGGCCGGCCCATGTCTCACTTGGGAGAGTGCGGTGCTGATAACACCAAGGCCGTGGGTTCAGATCTTGAATCTTAATATAATTAAAGTCTTTTTCAGGACATTTATAAAGCATTATATAGCATATTGGTTTCTCAAAAACTGTACAAGTTCTCTAGGCTCTCCTAATATATCAGATATATAGAATCATAGTCAAGACTCGAGGTGTCAAATTATGACATTTTAACCAGAATTAATTTTTCTATAGTTTAGATTTTTATAGAAAAATAGTTCACTTACTTCTTTCAATATCTCCTCAGAATGTCCAAAAGTACAATATTTATGGTGTGCCCTAAAATAAGAAAGTGACATGTCATCAAAATAGAATGAACAGATAATTCCCCATGGGTTTTTGGGTAATTCCTATACCACTTCAATAAAGATTATTACTATAAAAATAAAGTCTATTTCATAAGTAAAATTGTATAGTGTGCAAACATGAAATTCGGTTTCTGACAATCACGGTATTACCAGACAGCTTGACTAGTGACTGATTTCCTAGAATTTTCTTCCTGGTATTCTGACAGGTCATGAGGGAGTAATTCTACTACTTTGGTTTATGTAAAATACATTTACATGTCCATAAGGGATAGAGTTTTCTAGTTATCTACTCGAAAACAATTTAGTATGTATAATTTGCTATATATATATATCATCTTTAGATGATGCTAATAAGTTATACTAAGTAGAAGGAGAAAGAAAAGGTATGTTCAGAGGTGAAGAAATGAAGTTTCATTAAAAATCCCAAAATGGGGCCGGCCCGGTGGCGCACTGGATAGTGCGCCGCTTGGGAAGCGCGGCGGCGC